TGACAAGCGAGATCTGACCTTGAACTTGTCGTGTAGCGACTCGATGTCGTCCTTGACGCGCTGGATGAGCTGTGTCTGGTACTCGCGGATCGCTCCGCGGATGTGCGGCCGCACGAACAGGGCGTTGAAACGCGAGAAGATGCGGAACATCTCGTTGGCGTTCTTGGCGGTGCCCAGCTGGTCTCGCAGACGGGCCGTGATCCGGGTCTCCACGCGGTCAATCCGCTCGTCATACCTGTGGGACAAGTGGAGGGATGAGCTGTGTGTATGCTGTATTGCTCAGCTGTACTATTTAGTGCTGTATTGTGTGTTCTATGGTGTGTGGAGCACAACAACAGCAGGATTTGCTGCCTAGTGATCCACCGTATGTTGTAATTATTGCACTCTTGATTAAGAAAATGACATCACCAAAATTTATCACTCTAACCACATGCCTGCTTTTCTGTGATCTGGAAGCCAGTCAGGAAACTTAACAAACACTCTTTGAGCACAAAAAATGTTACCAATTGTTGGAAAGTTAATCTAAGTTTTAACAAGACGAAACAACAAATAAAGCTTGTAATGACTACGTTATACAGGAATTGCACTGCCTGAAGTAGAAGGGACAAGCTTACCTTTTAATGGCGGCCTCCCAGGCCTCCGTCCCTTCCTTCGACACGTCCAGTCCGTCCACCTCCTTCACATTCTCATACGCCAGGTTCACCTCCTGTGTTCATATACATACAGGTGACTTTTTTATTTTCCACATTGATACTTCCTATCAAGACTAGTGTAGAAGAAAAATCAAACTTTTCAAATTCTGAATGGTGTAGGTAAAATCTGCCTGGTAATTTTCCATGCAACCTACACCAGGGCAGGTGTGTAGAAAAACTTAGGATTTCGAGCCCTGTACAAGCAGATGTGTTCAAGTTAACATACCAGCTCTGAAACTTCTATATCTATATAGCCGGTATAACACACCAGCTTCTGTATCTGTATAGCCGGTATAACCAGCCTTCGGCGCAACACACCAGCTTCTGTATCTGAATAGCCGGTATAACCAGCCTTCGGCATAACACACCAGCTTTGCAGGAACGCGGCGCGGCAGCAGCTCTAAACATTGTTTAAAGCTATCTAATGACAATGCCCCAACGTAATTGGTGACAGTGAGTTCGACTCTGCGATAGTTCTAGGAAGGAATGAGTTTTTGAACACATCGAGATTCTTGGTTGATAACTCTGGTACTTGAAGGCATGACTATCAGTTCTTGTTCTCTTCTGCGCTGGTTTTAGGTACTTAGTAGTTGATACGTCCACCAGTTTATTGACTTATAACCTCTCTCACCTCGATGGCGTTGGCGTCTGCTGCATCCAGCAGGAACTCCGTAGTCTTGACCGGACTGGAGGCCTCTCCCTCGGGGCTGGTCGGAGTTGTAGCCTGGACCGCAGGCCTCAGGACGCGCAGAATCACGCCTCGCAGCTGCTCGTGCTGCCGACGGAACCTGGGAGGAAACAGCATCAGCTGAGCACAGATTTCAACTGGACAAACATTAGTGTTGCACATAAGCCTTTACTTGTGACTTGTACCTGGGTACTTTAACTTGTACTGACATGTGAAATAGAGAAGCAGAAGTTATATGTGCATAAGTACTGCCGTTCACCAGTTCTTGTCTAATCGTCTATCTAGCCAGGTACCTATCCAGAAATCCACCCATAAATGAACCCATACACAAACCCACCCACCCATCCACAAACCCATCCATCCATCCACCCACCTCCTCATCTGGTCCAGCCTCATCTGCAGCCTCTTGTGTGCCGGGTTGATTCTCCAGACCATCTTGAGGCTCTCGTCTCGCTTCTTCTTGACGAGGTCTCGCAGGAGCCCCTGCAGCTTCTCGTACTCGTCGTCCCAGGAGCCGAACACGTCGAAGCACGCCCCCATCACCTTCTCAAACTCGTCGTGCGTGATGTGCATCAGGCGACGGGTGCCTAGGACCTGCACAACACAAAACACCAAATATCACTACTATAACTCATGGGTGATGTGCATCAGGCGACGGGTGCCTAGGACCTGCACAACACAAAACACCAAATATCACTACTGTAACTCATGGGTGATGTGCTTCAGCCGACGGGGGCCAAGAACATGCAATGTATAACACAAAACACCAAATATAACAAACTACTGGTATCTACATGACACAAAACGTTCCCACCACAAAAATGTTCCCACCCTGAGCAGCTGAGGTCCTGTGAGATGTGTATGGGTGTGTATGAGTGGGTTAGTCTATGGGTGTGTGTGTGTGTGTGTGTGTACGGGTGGGTGAAGAATGTTCCCACCTTGAGCAGCTGAGTGCTGAGGTCCCGTGAGATGTGTATGTGTGTGTATGTGTATATGTGTGTGTGTGTATGTGTGTGTATGAGTTAGTGTTAAAAATGGTCCCACCTTGAGCAGCTGAGTGCTGAGGTCCTGTGAGATGTGTATGTGTGTGTATGAGTGGGTTAGTCTATGGGTGCGTGTGTGTGTGTGTGTGTGTGTGTACGGGTGGGTGGGTGGATGAAGAATGTTCCCACCTTGAGCAGCTGAGTGCTGAGGTCCCGTGAGATGTGTATGTGTGTGTATGTGTATGTTATGTGTGTGTTTGTGTGTATGTGTGTGTATGAGTTAGTGTTAAAAATGGTCCCACCTTGAGCAGCTGAGTGCTGAGGTCCCGTGAGATGGCCTCCACCAGCCGCAGCGCCCGCTGGATGGGGTACTTGGTGTTGCGGATCTTGCGGAGGTGGCTGAAGATGGCGGTGAGCGCCAGTCTGATCCGGTCCAGCTCGGTGGCTGCCAGCAGGTCGTTCAGGGGAAAGTCCCGCATCAGGTTGTTGTAGTCCTTCACGGTGTCTATCGCCTGCTGGAGACCTGGACACAGCAGACAGCAGAAAAGCTCTTAAACTTTGCAGTAATTTCAAATTGAGTATCAAACTGACCAGGGTTTTAGCTGGGTAGGTGTCCAGGGTGTCTTTTGCACGCCCTGTACTGAAAATAGTAAGAAATTGGACGCCCAACTTTTTGGTAGGACACCCTAAAGACGCCTTATTTTTTCCATTCCCAACCCACATGCCTCCCTTCAGCCTTACTATAAATACAAAAATGATGGTTTGCTGAAGGAAAAAAACTCAAATTCCTCAAAATTTACACTTCAAAATACAGAAAGTAGTGTGTGAGAGCATTATGAATTTCAATGCCCCCCAATACGCTGCGCATGGCATACAAAAAAAAATGGACATGCAAGAAGAAAATCCTAGCTAAAAGCCTGGTACAGACCCTTCTAAAATATAATGATGCTTCAGACTGTTTCCACCTTCATGTCCATAGTGAAAAAGAACAAACTGCAGTGGTTTGGCAAGAATCCAGAGTGAAAGGATTACTGTACCAAATACAATCTTACAAGGAATGGTGGAGGGCTAGGGGGTGTGGCCACAGGGATGCCCCGCCGAACATGGCTCAGTGACATGTAAGGACTTGTTGGGAGCGAAAGCGGTACAGCTGACTAGAATGGCAGATGACCACCAGAGGTGCACAGTTTTTGTGATCAGCCAAATTGGCTACAAGATGGAGAGATACAAAACACAGTGGAAGAGATAGAGATCTTAACTGAAAATCAACACGGTTTTAGGAAGAAACATTTGTGTGAGACTCAACTTGTTCAAACAACCAATGACTTAGCCCTTTCCTTAGACTCCAAATCACAAACTGATCTAATCATAACTGATTTTGCCAAAGCCTTCGATAAGGTACCCCACAACCGTCTTCTCTTAAAACTACATAATTATGGTATTAGAGGTAAGCTCCTCCAGTGGATTTCTAACTTCTTAAAAAAACGTAAACAAAGGGTGGTAGTTGGGGGGGAACACTCAGATTGGACAGAAGTAGTTTCTGGAGTACCCCAGGGTACCTATTAATCAGGGGTTTTTCTGAACAGGGGAACAAGGGCGCTGTGCCCTCACATAGCAGCCCTCATATCAATTTTCAGATTGAAGCCTAAGTCTTTTTCTAAATTATCTTTTTCCAGTAAAAATACAATAAACAACACCACATAACAATACATTCTAGCATTACAAACTATGTTACTCTCATAAAAATTCCACACTCTTACCACAAACTTGAAAATTTAGCTCTAGTAGTAAAAGTTTGAATGGAATAAACAATGTTCATTGAGAACTTGCTCAAGACATGTAGCTAGACCTCCTTCATTTGCATACTATAGAACAGGCTCTGAAGTGAAACATGAGACCTGAGTTTGTAGCAGCTTGGATGAATGTGTTGCAATTGTGCCATGGGAAAGGTTTCAGCTTGTGGCAAACCCAATGTTGTCATCTGGAGCTACTAGTAACATTGATCACTAATTGTGTAAGTGTATAAAGGGTGATTTGCAGATTGTGTGTACTGTTGATTGTACTGCAATGCATGAATAGAAATTTGGGAAAGGTACATTGAGGTTAAAAGTTCAAATTTCCCCCCCTCAAGTAGCCTCAAAATGTCCCATTTCAACATCAAATTTTCAAAGGCTTCACATGAAGGAAGGGGGGGATCCCCCCTTCCGCACCAGCCCCCCCTCGGTCGCTTCGCTCCCTCGCCGTGCTACTGCTCCCTCATGCCAAATTTTTCTAGAAAAACCCCTGCGCCGTATTTGGACCCTTATTGTTCTTAGTATATATTAACGACTTGGCTGACAACCTTAACTCTAACATCCGGCTCTTTGCCGACGATTGTGTTATTTACAGAGAAATAAACAATGACAACGACCACACCCTATTACAAGATGATATAAATATGTTAGACGCATGGCAGAGCAATTGGCAAATGGAACTACATCCTGACAAATGCTACGTCATGCACTACACCCACAAACGCAAAACTAAATTATTTGAATACAAACTAGGGAGCCACACACTAGCTGAGGCAAATAACCACAAATACCTAGGTGTTATTTTGAATAACAAACTTTCTTGGACAGAACACATCCATCATATTACTTCTAAAGCAAATAAATCATTAGGTTTTGTTAAACACAACCTCTACAGTTGTCCTAAATCAGTTAAGATGAATGCATACACTAGTCTAGTCAGACCACATCTAGAATACGCTAGCGCTGCGTGGGATCAGTACTGCAAGGAACATATTCACAAGCTAGAATCAGTCCAGAAAAGAGCGGCCAGATTCGTTTCAAGTACCTATGATACATATGCCAGCACTACCAAATTGGTCGTTTTAGGGTGGGACACATTAAAGGACAGACGCACAGCAAGTAGACTCACATTAATTCAAAAAGCAAGACACTCAAAAACAGCCCTTCCGGTCAAAACCTTGTTGACGCCTATCCCGCGCCAATCGCGACACTTCAACTCAAACTCATACAAGCCACTAACGTTTCACAAAGACTGTTACAAATATTCATACTTTCTACAAACTGTCAGAGATTGGAACATTTTGCCCCAAGAGATAACTGATACTGCGGAACCTACGAAGTTCAACGCTGCAGTACTACAACACCTGAGGAAGCAGCAATAACGCATCGCACAGCTCTCCTGCACGCTTTACCTCAATCTAGGGGTGTTGTGCAGTACCTAAACAAGACAAGATAAAGGCATATCATATTCTGCCTGTTCGCACCTGTATCAGTGTCGAAGCTGACGGTTGCGTGGAAGCGTTTTCCGTGTTTGAGGATGTCCAGCGTGAGGTGAATCTCCGGACTCTCCCGTTTCTCCTGGATGGAGAGCAGGCCTCGGTCCAGGTTCAGCCAGAAACTGATCTCCTGCAGGGCCGTACCCGACGCAGGGTCACGGTCAAGTTTGGTCACCTGAAACATTCAACGCAGGGTCACGGTCAAGTTTGGTCACCTGAAACATTCAACGCAGGGTCACGGTCAAGTTTGGTCACCTGAAACATTCAACGCAGGGTCACATATACATGTACATTGAAAAACACCACAAAGAATCTAATGACAGGAATGACCACATTCATTTTCAGTTTGATGAATATTTCAAGCAACAAATACAGTTAGGCACATCCTGGAGGACAGCACCAAGGCTACCGAAGCTCCACGACTCAACTTGATACATACGTACAGTGCCGAATCATAAATTCCGCAAAAAGCCAGCATGTGCTGGCTTGTTGTCTACGTCGCTGTGTACTGCCACAAATTCACAATACCAGCTTTGTATTCCTGTGGTTTAGTAGCATTTTTATTTTTGGCAGGAATTTTTTTTTTTCATTTGCCCACGCGCACTAGTTTGTGGGTCTTCGGAGGATGTCATCCATAAAATTAAGTCAGTGTGGCCTGACTTTCCTCACTTTGCTCAGGTTAAATGAGTATGCCAGAAAGATCCTCATCATGATTGTGGGCATTAAAGGAAAACTAAACCAAAACCATGCTGCCCACCTTCTGTATCTCCCTGATCCAGCGGTTGACGCCGTGCTGCAGGGCGTTGAGGAAAGTGGAGTCCTCCACGCGGTTCCCAAAGTCGGACACGTTGGCTTTGCGCCCCTCCTCCTCGTGCACCTTCAATCAATTAATCAATCAATCAATCAATCAATCAAATGGTGTTTTATTCATAAAAAACATGGACTTTGCATTACGTCCAGTTGTACATCATGGCCGAACACATTTATATTTACATTTACGTACACAGGCGTTAACGCAAATATCCACATCATTATTCACGACGTCTTTGACGTACTGTGTCTAAGACAAACAGTGACTGTTCAATAGATGGATCATGTATGGGACACTACTCTGTTTGTACCGCTACGTTCTACATTTGGTAAGAGTCAGTTTATTTCTGGAGCTGCACCTTCTTGACGATCCCGGCCACGGTGGGGTGGATGGTGAGGGTGATCTCCGGAATGTCGATGTTCTGCTGCAGGTGCAGCAGCCCCATCTCCAGCTCAGCTATCTTCTTCTCAACAGACGGCGCCATCTTGTCTCCATCCCTATGAAGCAGTTCAGAAAAATGTTAATTCTAACTTCTAAGATTAAAATTATTGGATTGATTTCAATTACAACTAGAGCTGTGTACCGGTACACAGTACCGATACTGTACCGGAAAAATTGATTAGGTACAGGTCCAAAATACCTAATCCCTCTGTACCGGTACTGTACCTAAACAATTTCACACCAATTTTATGCCTATTTGTGACCTCAAATGTGTAAATAGCTGGTTAACAAAGGGTCCCTGTGTAAGGACAGTGTGTTCATGAAAACAAAAACACCTATATTTTATCTGAGCATTCGCCATAAACAAAGAATAAACCTTAACTATCAAGTTTATTTATGTTTTTTTTGTTATTGAAGGAGTTCAGAAGAGCATATAAATTGGTCGAATTGTTCAGGTACAGGTTCAGGTCCGGACCTGTACCTGAACCTGTGTACCTGTACCTGTACCTGTACCTAAAATTTGTTTAGGTACACAGCTCTAATTACAACTATAAGTTTTTCACCTACACAAGTTTTTTCTTTAAAAAACTATAAATTCAGTGTCAAGCATTTATCTATCCAGTAGCATACATACATGTTTCTCTCCAACATGAAGAAATGGCATCCTTTTTAAATCAGGAACACAATGTCAAGACAGTACAACCTTGTATAGACGATACAAAATCGACTAAGATTTTGATTACTATAACATCAGGCAGCATAAAATGCAAACTAACAGTGTTGTAGTGCTCTCTAGATGTGGAGTCACGTGGCGTAACAACAAAGTGCTCGACTCGGAACCAAGAGGTCCCGGGTTCGAGTCCTGACATGGTACTGATCTTGTGCCCTTGGGAAATGCACTTTACACGAACTTCCTCACTTCACTCGGATGAAAATGAGTATTGTCTGTCCTTCATTTGTCCTTGTATTGGTGGCGGCTTAAAATAAGTTGACATGATATGAGTTTGCCGTGATGTCCATTCATGAAATGTTGGAATACATAATTATACATGTATAACAGAACAGAGCTCTACACACCTGTCTGCCTTGCCCGACTCGCGGACGTAGGATTTGAAGTACGGAGCCACGGAGTTACTGACGATGGCGTGAAGCGTTTCGTACGGCGAGCCGTCGCTGAGCGTCATCACGCGCACCTGCGAGGCAATGGTCTTATCCGCCTCGATAACAGGCCCTCGCTTGATGAACGCAACACTGCAGCAAAACAGGTTTCATGTTAGCAAATGTTGCAAAATAACTGTTCTCGATCTAGTCTTGTGTTTTCTCAAGACTAGTAGGTCACTCCGTGATCAAGAGGCACATTAGACATAAAAAATTTGGAGGTACATGTTAGCTACCTTTCAAAACAGTCACTGATTGATGAATATTCTACTATCTGTTAATGTACTATATGTGACTGATAAACCTCCTCAACAACTCTTCTATATATAAGTTTCTAATGTTTATCTTTTCCTTTTGGTGGATGGAAGATGAAATACTTCTTAATGATATACTCATATCCAGTTGCTGTAAGCAACTGCTTTTTGGCTTATCTTATTAGTACCTGGATGTCTAACCTTTACCAACGTAACTGAGTCTGTGATGAATAACTTCTATGTTAAGCGGGCAGGACTCCACACATAACCTGGTGACCTTCTGGCTCTTGAAGTGCCCATGAGTGGTGATGATGTAACTGATGAACTCCTGGTCAGAGTCAGGGCTGCTGTCAGACACGTCCCCATCATCTGAAGTTCAAATAATCGCTTGGTAAATTTCTTCCAACAGTATATACTCTAAATCCATGACAGCAAATCCAGTTTCATGCTCCTTACCAGCCCATGATCCATACGTTATCT